AGTTGTAATTAATGAATAGAGACATATGTAGGCTTAACATTTATCGGTTTGCCCACACATGGAATCTAGAGTCTATGGAAGTAGAGACAGATTTACTGCCAGCAACAGCCATAGCTCATTGCTGGAAATTACTGCAGAAAACCAGTAGCTATTCTAGTCTAAATACAGACGGGAATGAATGGGTGGCAGAAAATGTACTTTCCTCTGTTCAATTTCTAACACTTGCTTGGTTCTCAAATTAAATCCTTAAATTCTCAAAAATATATTTTTTATTCCTTTGTCATACAACAGACAAACCCCTTTAGGTATTGATAATGGGTTCAATTCAGCAGACCCCACAAAATTCACCCATAAAAGAAAATCCCAGAATTGTGAAGAAGTGAAAAATGAAAGAGTTGCAATCTACTTTAGCTCAAGTAAATTACAACTAGGTAGCATAGAATAAGAAACCAAAGAATAACTTAATTACTATTGTGCTACTGTGGATTATAAGGCAGAATTAGTTTTTTGTTGTTTACTGCAAAGAATAAAAAAAATTATCTAATACATATAATACATACATACACACATACATATACTGTGCAAAGACTTAAGCATCCTAAGAAAATGATGTTTGAATGACCTTCATGTTGGTGCAAAAGCAATGCTATTATGCCTGTCAAAGTGTGTTAGCTTAGCCGTTTCATGATTTCTGCTAAAATCACCGCAGTATTTGCAGCAACCCTCCAGTGCACCCATGTATTTTATGACCACTAGAACACGGTGTCCATCTTGTGCTGTTTGCACTTACTACACAGTTTAATAGCTTAAACATTTCCTTTGACTGCCTAAGACTTTTGCACAGTACTGTATGTATGTGTGTGTGTGTATTCTTCCCGGATAAATTCTGCACTGGTTATCTTCAGGGTAATTTCTTGTCAGATCCTGTCACTGTCTTGTGTGTCTGGAGATAGCCCTTTGTCTCTTATTTTACTGTCCTGTCCCCCCCCCCCCAAACTACTACTTAACAGAGTCCAGCTGTAGTGCAGTACTTAGATAATTTGGGTCATGTCACTGGCATTTGTATCTGCTTTCTGATTTATCTGGCCAGGTGCCAATTACAATTACCTTTTGAAGTCTCTATGCTATTTTAAGCACATTCGGAATAGTTTGTGAGAGCTCTCTGGTCTAGAACTTATTATTTAACATGCAAACCCCTTCATGTTATGTCAAAACTGAAGGTGGCTCTTCAATGGAAGATAACTTCTCGCTGTCCCTTAATGATCTTGACAGCTACACACGAAAAGCAGAATCAATCACATGTAAACCCAAAGTTCAAGGTGACACCCACAAGCAATAAGAACCTTGAGAGGTGACCTAGAGCTCCTACTGAACATCTCATATTCCTTTTTCCCCCATTGTGGGTTACCAGTTTACCTGCAGGGCGAATAAAAACAAAATGCAAATCAGATTCAAATTTCCAACCCTTCCTTTCATGGAAGCCTATCCAGAAGCACAACTCTAATGCCTCAAATCGTCAGTGCTGCATCCAAGTCGGGGTATTAAGCCATTCAAATGAAAAATCCTGGCAGCGATTAGTCATTTGCATAACGTTTGGAATGTTGCCGTCTGCAGGTATAAGGGGGACGGTTTCACTAAACATTCTGCACATGTCATCACTGGTAAAATCAGTTGAAGTGAGGAAGGTCCCATTTTATTTTCCATTAACAGTATGATTACATTTTAGTCAAACACCTCCAAGCACTCTCTGAAACATCAGCAAGATAAATTTTTACTAATGAAACCAGCCACAAAAAATGAGAAACCGCAAAACGCTGCTTTGTCTATTAAAAATGTTTTGAGGAATTACAGGATCCTGCTGCTCCTCTTCCATCACACCCAACTCATCGTTTTGAAGTCTATAAATGTCCCAGAGGCCAGACATTTTCTTCCCACGTGATTCCAGATTAGCAGTCGTGAACCACAGAAGGCCACTTAGCTCTTCCTAACTTAGCATTTCTCAACAGAACTGTGGGGAGCTACAGAGTAAAAACATGTTAGTAGAGTAGACTCTTCAAAGACTTGGCCCACATTCTATGTATTTAACCACACTATTTGTGTGGCTTTGGTCTGTACCCTGATGTTTAGATTATTATTTAGCCCCTGTGTGATTTTTGCAGCTTTTCATTGTCCCATGTGGTGGTAGAAGGAGGCGTATCAGGGAGACCAGCAGACCTCTACCAATCATGCTTTCTCTCGCATTGTCTTGGTTGAACTGTTCTTTAAGGCCCACCGTCTTTCACTTCGGTGTGCATGACATTCTCAGGTTCCTTGATATCACTGATGGCACAACCTAGGAGAGCATGTGCCCTTCTCACATGTAGGGTGCTGGCTGACAGTTTAGCCTCTTTGTTGTGCAAATAAACCCTGCAGAGTTGTTACTTGAAAGACTGTAGACTGCTGTGTGGCAAGGTGTAAAATACAAATTTAACTTTGGTATATCCGGCTGCGAGTGGCTGATGCAATACGACGCTGTACTATCATGCAGAAAGATGATGTGAGCTTTATCCTTTATGATGTCATTTCTCCTTGGAGAAAAAAAAAAACACAAACTGTAGTCAGTTTAGGTATGCTGGTACCACGAAAATGGAAACCCAACCCTCTGGAGTCAAAAATCAAGGCCAGGTTTATGGGCTAAATTTGCAAGGACTGCAAATCTTTACCACTAACAGTGTTACCAAGTAGATTTATAGCATTCGGCCCTCTTCATTGGTACTGAATTGGGGGGAAAATAATAGCAATAATAACCAGGGCACAATGTCATGTTTTAGAACCTTTTTCACACTGAAATGCTGCAGATACACTGCAACGCTACGCCATCGTCAAGGCAGATAAATAGTTCACAGCATTCATGGGGCAGAATCTGCTTTCAAGGCATCACTGCTCTTATTGTGCTGAGAGGCTGACGGCAGTGTGGTCTGTGCCTAAAATGGTCTGTGTTAAACATAAATATCACCGCTCGGGCCACTATGTCAGAGGCAGAAAAATAACCAAGACGGGCTCTAAACAGGGAAATCGAAAGAACAGGGAGTCAAAATGTTACCAAAAGGAGATGAATACAAGTCACTCTCATTGAGATCCCATAACAACAACTTTTTTAATGACAATACTCTTATACAGCACAACTGAAGGTGCTGCAGTACGTGAATAATGCTAATGTATATAAGCAAATCTGGCTCGAGCAAATCCGGTCAGACTGATCAGACTAAGAAGGGTCTTTCAAGCCATGCTCAGCAACAATGGCTCATGGGAGTTTAGTTGGCATGTTAATTTCATTCTTGGCTACAAAAATTGAGACAGCTGAGCGGAGCCATACATACAGATCAGAAGCTCCTTCGGAACTGAATGGCCTGGGTTCGCCAAAGGGTTCAAGCACACGATCGATGATAACCAAGTGAGGCAGTGTTGATATGAAGTCATTCATCACTGGTGACAGGAAACCCGAAGGGACAGCGGCACACTGAAGTTCAGGTTTGTTAACCCAGCTTTAAAGACAGACGGTCAGCAAAAACAGGCGTAACAAGAATGAGATGTAAGTAGGGCTGGGTACCGAACTTTGGTACTTTTGTGGTACCGACCGAAATGTTCCGATCCTACCGAGGAACCAAAATTGATTATCTTTTGTGCCAAATTCTTATACCCAAACAGTAAATCTCAGCGTCTGTAAGCTAGTAGGCATGCAGCAGGCTTGTGTAAAGAACTATAGTCGCTGATGATTGGCTGAATAAAGTAACATTACACATTAGAACTTGGTCCAATTGCAGGTCCTCGGAGGCGCTATTGGGAAGGTGCTTACAGTGATAATCTTGCCGGTTGCTTGACCACAAGCACCAGCATTAACATGGATGTTATGAGGAAGTGCAGAAATAGAGACAGTAGATGGAATTATCTTTGTACCTCAATTATAAGATTGAATACCTTTTGTCTGCATCTCCAACCAGCATCAGCGGAGAAAAATGCCAGCGCTTATTAGCAGGATAACGTTGCATTGCTTTTTTATTGGCGAAAAATGAAAGAACAATCTGCTTGCCAGATTCATTCATTAATTATAATCATGTCGCAATTCATATGAGTAAAATATAAATAAAAAGCCGTGTCCCATTACGATCGCGATCGATCCCTCCAGTAACTAACTAATAACTAACAAAATGACTTATTCAAATAGAAAAATGTATGCTGTAATGTTTACTGAATTTCTGTTGACGGTGAAAATGATGTAAAAACATACTGGTATCGAAAAAAGTATTGTTTAGGAATCGGTACTGAAATCAAAGTATCGTTCCGGTACTAGTATTGAAAAATTTTGAACGATGCCCAGCCCTAGATACAAGGGGAGCTCAAGAATTTAAATATGAATATCTGGCTGTGTTATCCTTCAGACTCTGGGGGAGAGGAATAACCTTATCGGCTTACACCAGCCACATATAAGCAAAGGGGATTTCTCCGTCTAGAGTTCACCTCACAGGACACAGCTACAAACCAGCTAGTATTCAGATGCTTATTGGTTTATCAGGCCAGCAGTATAAATCTTATGTGTAAAAAAAAACAAATTAGCAAGCTGCCAGCCAATTAGCAGACATGCGACAATATTTCCTGTCTTCCAAGATAATCTGACAAAATGGTCACAAAGTTCAGTTCCAACGTTGTCCAGATTTATCTTGTAAGCTGTCACCCCAACTGAGAAAACTAGCACAGATCTTTAATTTCACAGACAAGAGTAGCTCAAAACAAAATAATCCATAAATAAAACATTCTAATTAAACCCTTCAAAATTTCTTCCACTGCTTTCCCACAGCATCAGAGGATAATTTAAGTTAATTTCCTAGTTCCAACAAAAACGCCTTAAAAACTCAATAACCTGACTACACACAAGCATAGAGCTGCTACACACAAGCACAGCAATGCACCCAAGCTGACCCCACGTCAGCTGGATTTCTCTGCACAGGTTGCCTCGCGCTCACCTTGATCTGCTGTCTGCGTAGCATGGCCAGCTCACGCATGTCCCTGAAGGGCTGCAGCAGGTACTGGTACAGCTCAGTGGTGGCCTCCACCAGGCAGCCGTAGGCCTCGTCCTCCTCCTGGTAGATCTTCAGCAGCTCAACCATGCTCTCCATCACCTTGTGCTTGTCCAGGAGCTGATGGACACAAAATATCATGGTGAGGATTGCTAGTAAAAATGCCTGTATCCATCCATCCATCCATCCATCCATTCATCCTCCAATCACTTATCCAGTAAAAGGACTATGAGAGGTGGATCCTGATGCCTGCAGTCTATCCCAGACAGTACGGGTCATAAGGCAGGGAATACCCTGGAACACATCCTAACACCTCACAGGGCAGACACTGATACATTCATCCACACAATACAGGCAATCCTGAGATGGCAGTATAACTGCATTGCAGGTGGAGACAAGAAAACCAGTGGGGGAAGAAAGCCCTGAAACATCGATGTCAATCCTCCAGACTTCCAAGTTAGTGCCAATGCTTGCAGCCGACCAATCAGCAAAATCTACTGGTATACACTTCACCCCAGTAGTTCTTAGTCGAGCCAAGTAGGGACTGGAGTAGGGACTAAAAAATGGTTCAGGATCTACATCCGAGGAACTACAATCAGGCCTTGAGTTCCTGCAGCGGGAACGCAACTGAAGTTCCTAGTTCCTTAAAAAAAAATGGTTCTGGTTCCTGAAAAAAATTCATGTAGTGGGAAAGTGCCTCATGTGAAATCCACACATAGAGAGCAGGGGAGAGAGTCCATCCCTCAAACAGGCGAGAGTCAACAGTGCTGTTCACTGAGCCACATGCCACCCTTGTAGCTTAAAACACATGGATGATATACTACCGCTTTACAAAAATATTATCAGAGCAAGTTACAATAACTATTTGAATAGTGTCAGCTTCGGAGGTGAACGCGAGCACGGAAGCAGGCGAATGAAGCCAAAAGGTCCGGTGAAGGGTTTATTAAAGGCAAAAGGACAGGTGCAGACAACGACGGACCATACAACGATGACAGATCTGGGGAAACAGACTGAGACTCGGACTAAATACACAGGACTAGGCAACAGATAACGAGCTACAGGTGGGAACAATTAGGGCGAAACAGGAGGTAATGAGGTGGGCGTGGCACACATCGGGAGCGGACGGAGCGGGGCGTGACAAATAGCATATCTAATTTTTCATAAACAAGCAAGTCCAAATCCTGAAAATTATTATACTCACTATGGAAATTACAGAGAACACACTGAATTCAAGGAGCCAAAAATAATCCTCTATCTACACTGATACTAGATAAGCAAAACTAACAATTGTTACCACTTTCTTTACTACATACAACAAAGATTAAAAACCCTGTGTCAGCTGATGACAAGCTGAAGTCTTATTGTGACCAACAGTAAAAGCATTTAAGTGTTTCTCAGTTTAGTGCATTCTAATTTTCAACTTGTGATCATGAATCATTAGTAGAAAATATATCATTAAAATAAAAAACAAAGCACAATAACAAAGTATCAGGCCAATATTTTTTTCCAGCCTTCCGGAAATAAATACCTAATGTTCAGAGAACACTGGTGGGAAAACACTTTTCGTTAAGATAGCTATCAAGTATGTAAATACTAACATTAACTACAATTAGGTACAAGATTCACATTGCATATTCAAGACCACTGAATGCTGAGAAGGGAAAAGCTATTCAGTGAAGTCTCCTGCAACGCAGTCTGACAATGTACAGTATGGTGTCTCAGCTCAAAACTGAATGTACATCTATAGTAATTTCAAGGTAACAGGCACCATAACAACAACATTAAAACTGCTTCCAGAATTCCCCTAGGGTTCATATTAATTATGCATTTCCCAGCTTTTAAGTTTTCAGGCAGCTGATATGTAAAATATTTCATTATCTTGCGTACTAAGTATTGTTGATATGACTATTCATATCATTATATAATTTTGTTACTGTTCTCAATATCAAGTTTTGACTAATTTTAACCAAATGACAGTTCTACTTGTGAATGTAGTATGCCAGCCTGCATTTTCTCATTACCTTAAAGCAAAAAAGGTCCCATTCATATCCAAGTTTAACTAAAGCACTGTCTTTCCTGCTTAACATTTCAAGGGAAACACTGCCTTTTTCAACTGAACACTGTGTCCACTGTTTACCTTGGCTTATGCACTGCAAGGAAAAACCAAGCCCCAACCCTGCAGCTGTGGGCGACCAAGAGAGATCCTCCACGGGACCGAAAAGCTGGGGAGAGGCTCATTTCACATGGTTCAGGACCATAGAAGAGTCTGCTATGCTTCCATCTCTGTCACTGAAGGGCATCATACCGTCCAAGAAAAACTCAAGTGTGTAGAAATTCCAAGGGCTACTATTTACATATGTATGTTCATCTAGGACTTAATTCCACCCGCTGCTGTGGAGCATGATACAACACAGCTTCCTCCAGCTGTCATCCCAACTGGGGGCAGGTAACCTGAAGGAAATAGTATGACACTCGTCACTGTGCAAATTAGTTCAGCTGTATGAACCGTTTGGTCAAACAACTAATAACCATAAAAAAAACTGGACTCTGCCATTAAAGTAAAATGTTATAAGGATGCCAACAAGTCATAAAGATGACCACCAGCTTGTCGCTCTTCTTTTACACACTCAAGTGTCGTTGCCCCAAAGCTTAGTGCCAAATTCAATATTTTAATGTCTTACTGTCTACTAGAGTTTGAACAGATAAAGATAATATAAAGAAACAATTAAGCATTTCAGTAATCTGTAAGGACATCATGGAGCAATTTGAATTATATAGAAGCAATCATTTTCGGTCACTTATTTTCTCACACCATTCAAGTAGCAACACCCCAAACCATGAATACATAGTTATGTTTATGTTTATTTTTATCTGAAGCTGTAAACAAGTAAGCAAACGCACAGCATATTGTACCATCCTCTCAGACCACCCAAGCAGCCTGCAGTTGAACATAATGCTTCAATATGTACAACAGAAACCTGCAACACTGACATAAGCAGATCACGGAAGGGGGAGGCGGGCGAGAAACACGGGTACGGCATCACTGCAGACTGACTGCTGTCACTGCTCATCTCGCTGCTACAGGGGACGTCGCTATTAGTCCAGGTTGACCATTCAACTACAACTGTTATGATACAAGAGGACTCTTACACACAAAACAAGTACTTAAAAAAACCCTGAAGAGATGTGAGACTGGGTGTAACTGATACATCATATCTGGAGAGACAGCACTTTCGATGTTAAGCGGATCCAGCCATAAGTGAATCTTAACCAAAGCACAGAGGGAAAACAGCTATAACTCTTACTAATGTTCCTTCGGTAAGGAAAATATCTTGGTCGGCTTGTGCAGCTAGTTGAGCAGCTGTGATTTTTGTGTCATAATGAAATTGCAGTCGGCTCACCACAATACAAACTGGGTTCTTTTCCTGAATTGCAGCCCATTCTTTGCATTCATTTAACAAAGCGTATACTTGCTTTGCTTTTCATTGCCTTCATTAAGTATAAAAACAAGGCTGCAATCAACATTTGGCTATGTGTCTATTGCAAACCAACACAAAAAAATGGAAACCATGCAGTGATTGAACTGGACTACATGTCTGTCCTTTGGTTAAAATGATGAGGATGATAATAATAATAATAATAATAACAACGATAACTGGTGAAACTGTATTTAAAATTGTGGTCTAAATTTCTCCAAGATTTCTTTTAAAACAAAAGGACCCAAATAGTGATGAATACTGCACTGAATAAATAAATGAATGCCCTGGATGAAGCTGGTCACAGTGACCAAAACCTATATTTCCCAAGTCATCTGCCTTTGAAATGGAGGGGAAAACTATGGGTGGTGGAAAAAACAGCTTTACAGCTTAAGAGCACTGCGAAAAGTCCAGGGCCCCCGGCACTTTCATTCCAAACAATTCACAGCATTAGTCATGCACACAGCAGGATTTTACTAGAGCAATTCAAATTAGACGCCTTGCTCGAGGGTACCTCACAATAGCCCGTCCAGTGATTTAAACCACAACATTCAGTTTACAAGCTAGTTTCCTACAACTACACTATTTTTTATCTCCTTTATTGCTTACCTTATAATCCACCCACTATACTTTCAGAAATCCATTAGGAGAACATAACAGTCCCTCAAAATTCAACATAGGAGGCAATACATGGCTCTGTGGGTTAGGCCTCTGGGAGCGGAAGGTTCCTGGTTCAAATCCTGCGCTTGGCAAACTGATGTCACCAAGACCGTTAACCCTAATTGTTCCACTGACTGCTTGTCCCTGCTTTCTCAATTGTACATTGCTTTAGAGCATCTGCCAAGTATGTACAGGCAACTCCTCAAATCCCAGTGCTGCATTTCAGTGACAATTTAATTTCCAATACAGGTATCCAACCAGCTTATCCTGGGGGGGCCTGGAGCAAATCATAGGCAGCTCCGGATACAAAGCAGGGGTACCACAGTCTGGGCAGGTCAGCGCCAGTTCACCTAAATGCAAGTCTATAAACAACAGGAAAGAAACCGGAGTGCAAGGAGGAAATCTGCACAACACCGGAAGAGCACGCAAACTCCACACACACTGGGCAGTCGCAGGATTCAGACTGCTAGCTTCAGAGGTGTGAGGCAACAGTGCTACCCTCTGAGTCTTGTGCCTCCTACCACACCATTTATTATCTGGTCAGTATATAAATGTATTTCAGAATGTACTTTGAACACTATCAGACACATTATATTGCTGCATGATAAACTTCAGAGGAGCCTGTTACCACTTATTGTACCTATGGCTGCATGACCCTGGGAAAAAGAAATCAAATATGGAAACGTAAAATTTTTGCAATAAATATTGCGATATTTATAAAGCGATAAACGAGTTGAAAACTTGCACCAAATAAACTGTAACTCAAAAAGAACTTATGTACCAATAGAGTCTGTCAAATAAAGTCGTTGGTGCAAACAAACACAAAACAAACATTTCTATTGAATCCAGAATATTTGCATACAGCAGAAGGTGAATAACTTTCGGTGACCAGTTCTTATTCGCTTTTCTGCACATTTTTGTTAAATTTCTTCCAAACGTGCAACACTATCTATAATCAAGTGTAGTATAAAGGACAAAAAAACT